AGTGTCAATGGAGAGAAGAGAGGGAGAATTGGAGAAGTCGCCAATAGTGACACAAAGGAGGGGTGAGACAGGATGAACAGAGAAAAGCTCCTCAAAGCGATCTTCGAGAAGATCAACGTTTGGAGAGGGAGAGAGACGAGTAAAGAGAGCAGAGTGTTGAAAATTGGACATTGCATGGGTCATGGAGCGGGTGAGACGGGGAGAAGGTGGAGGAGCAGGAGCTGAAGGAAGGGTAGCAGAAGGAGGTGATGAGGGAGAGGGTGGGGAAGCAGGAGCAGGAGGGAGAGGAGAAGGATGTTGTGAAGGAGTGGGCATGGGAGCAGAAGAGGAAGAGGCAGGATGAGAGGTGCCAGAGATGACAGCAGAGGGGGAGGTGGAGGGGGCAGGGAGGGGAGGCGGAGCAAGGGCAGGAGGAAGGGGAGAAGGAGAGGGAGGAGCAGAGGGCAGCGGATCAAAGTCAGACCAACGAAGAGAGGGAGGAGGAGGGGTGGGAGGGGGGTGACGAATGGAGAACGAGTCTCATCAAAGATAACATCCTGGCTGCGAATGAGCTGCTGAGAGGAGGGAGCATAGAAAAGGTAGCCAAGACAGTCAGCGTTGATACCAATGAACGCACAGAGCTGCGTCTTGGGAGCGAGCTTCCCACCCTGATGTGCTCGATCAGCGGGATTGATGAGGACATGAGCGACACAGCCCCACACCCGAAGAGGGCGGGCGGAGGGTTGGCGGCCAGTCCAGAGCTGGAAGGGTGCAATGGAAGGGCGAAGGGGATGAGGGCGAAGGTTGGAAAGAAGAGTGGCATGAACAAGAGCGTAGCTCCAAAGAGAGTGTGGAGCAGAGGCATGAGTAAGGAGACAGCGAGTGATCTCCATGAGAGTGCGAATATGACGCTCGGCAACACCATTCTGTTCGGGAGAATGCGGAAGGGTGGAGGTTTGGCGAATGCCATGAGAGGAGCAGTAAGAAGAGAGAGAGTGGTTAAAGAACTCGCCACCTCCATCATAGTGGAGGCGTACGATAGGACGACCAAAGCGAAGGCGCGCCTGCTCAGCCCAGCGAATGATGAGGGAGGGGGCGTCAGATTTGGCACGGAGGGGATAGACAGTGGCAAAGCGAGAGTGGTCATCAACAAGAAGGAGAAAGTAACGATGACCCTGACGGGAGGCAATGGGAGAGGGACCCCATAGGTCCATATGCACAAGATCAAGGGGTTTGGGGGAGGCAGAAGGGGAAGAAGGATGAGGAGATTGGGACAGCTTGGCCTGAACACAAGGGGTGCATGGAGGAGCGGGAGAGGGGGGAAGGGGCGGGAGAGAGGAAGGGACATCATGAAGCAGCTTCGAATTGACTATGCTGCGAAGGGTGTAGAGGCGAGTAGTAGGGGAAAGGGTGAAACGAGCGAGGTGCCGGTCGTGGTAATGAAGATCACAATAGAGTGCACCTGGGGGGAAGAGCGCTCGCACACCGAGGCGTTGGAGGGCAGGAAGGGATAGGAGGTTATGACGGCAAGAGGGAACATAAAGGCCAGTAACAGCGCCAGAGGGAGAGGCAGGACAGGGAAGAGAGGAAGTGCCTGTGCAGATCATGGTCATGGTCTCCCCAGCCCCATCAATAGAGAGGGGACGAGGAAAATTGCGAAGAACACCAGCATCACGAAAGACAGAGTCAGTAGCAGCACTGTCAAGGACAAAATCCAAGGTGCGAGGAAGTGAGAGAGCGGCAGCCGTAGGGCTGGGAAATTGAGAAGCAGTGCTTAGAAGCGGTGGAGAAAATGGAACGAGAAAGCGAGGGTCCATAAGAGGAGAAGCACCAAGGATGCTATCCTGAGAGGGCAGGGTCACACTGAAGACAGAGACCAGAGAATCAATACCAGAGGTTACAGCGGCAGAAGAGCGGTGAGGCTGATGGGACAGCGGAATCAAAGCAGAGGAGTGGAGAAGAGGGGAGGTCCAGCGACAAGGAGGAGAGGTGCAAGGGGAGGAAGGGGCAGCGAAGGGAGCGGAGAGTAAGGAAGGCAAGGGTAGGAGAGGAGGTACGGTAGAAGGAGGATGAGGGCGGAAGCGCAGAGGAAGAGAGGTAAGAGCGAGAAGAGGCCCCATATGGGGGAGGGAATAGCAATAAAGCAGTTGTGGGGAGAGAAAAGAGGAGGAGGAATAGGGGTGAGGTAGTCAGGTGCTGAGCCGTTGAGGGGAGAAATACGAGGAGGAGGGATGGCAGCGAAGTAGTCTGCTGCTGCGCCGCTGAGGGGAGACATAAGAGGAGGAGGGATAATGTCGGGGTAGTCTGCTGCTGCGCCGCTGAGGGGAGAAATACGAGGAGGAGGGATAGCGGCGAAGTAGTCTGCTGCTGTGCCGCTGAGGGGAGAAACAAGAGGAGGAGGGATAGTGGCGAAGTAGTCTGCTGCTGCGCCGCTGATGGGAGAAACAAGAGGAGGGATAGCGGCGAAGTAGTCTGCTGCTGCGCCGCTGAGGGGAGAAACAAGAGGAGGAGGGATAGCGGCGAAGTAGTCTGCTGCTGCGCCGCTGAGGGCGCAGACCGTACGGTACAGCCTAAACCCACACGTAGTTATAGCTAGAGAAGACCTACAGATCCACAGAAGCAGTGTAGTGTTTAAGAATCACCCACCAAACTCCATCTGCATTGGGTAACGGTATCCTAACTAAATCTTTCTGCTAACAAAGCTGGAACTTACAACAATAGGGCAATGCTCTATACTGACACCATCACCTAACCAAAAAGCCTACACACTTCAATAAGAATGTCCCACGCAAGGTCACATCTCTTCTTGTGATTTTCTTACACATCTGCCAACCTTCTTCTTGAACACGTCACGTGTCTCCCGCCACTCTTTCTGTATAAGAAATCAAAAAGGGACAAGGGCACAGCTCAGGCATTGAACCACATGAAGGGGTACTGAGCAGACAAAAGTGCATGTGAGCATGCGTGTTCAAAAGTCAAGGAAAGTGGGCTTGGGGAAGGGATGGGAGAAGGAAGAGTTAGGCGAGATGTATTATACATCTAACAAGGTGGTGACTAGGTGTGAGGGGGAAGGAAGCATGAGGCTGGCGGCAGAAGACATATTGCAGGCAAATGGGGAGAAGGAGTGAACGAGAGTGAGGAACGAAAAGGGGCAAAAGAGAATAAGGGCACGAAAGAATGGGAAGACCAGGTGAGAACAGGTGCATGAGGGGAGATGGTATGAGTTGAAAGGGAAGGCGCAGGGGAAGGCAAGACGGCGAGGCAAGAGGGAGACGTGAGCAAGAATTTGAAGGACAATAGAAGGCAATGCAATGGCATCAGGACTGGTGAGCGGCAAGCTCACACAAAGACTGTAGATTTGCAGCACAGCAACCCAGCAACCCAGCAACCCAGCAACCCAGCAACACAGCAACCCAGCAACATAGCAACATAAAGGCACGCTGATGCGGAGCTCAGATCACACTGCTCACCGCTGCGTCGATATTAGCAGGCGATTCGTCGTTGGGGCTTGAGAGCATGGAGATGATGCTCAACAAGATTGTCTCCACCTGCCAAGGAAAAACACATGCACAGAACGCATTGAGGAATCCATGCTTCAGTAACCCAGTACAACAACAACTGTCAAAGTCGGGAAGGATAAACCTGCGTGGATAGACGACTCTTAAAACCTACCCAAAGGCCGACACTGTGAAAGGGGAACATACGAATCTGAACCAACAGGATAATGAGAGGGACGTGCCAGGGCACAGACGCGCTTACTCAACAGAGAAACGAAAAGGAGCTTACAGTGTGCACGGGCGACCAGCGTTCGCTTGCCAGCTCGTATCCATTGGGGTCGTCGCCAGGTGCGTGCAGGATCGATATGCACACCCGGCCGTCGGGGTAGACTGCCAGGGAGAAGAACGAATAGTGCATACCATATAGAAGAACCAACGGCATAAATCACCATTCCCTCAATACCGATGAGGGCAAGCAGCAGCTTTCTGAAGACTAACCAGGTCATGAGCTAAGCTCCTATATGCTTTAACTCGTCAAATAAACACGCGAGGTGAGTCACGGACGCAGGAACTCGGAGAAGCTGCCCGGAAACGAAAGGCGTTAAATTGCCATCGACTATGGTACTGTTCGTTACGACGGAGACTCACCGGTTTCATACAAAAAATACTCACCGTTTGGATGCCACATTTCCGAGGTGAAGCGGACTTGCGGTGGGCTGTTGGGGTAGTTGTTTGGGAAGCTCATAATTGCATTGAAGAATCCACCCTCACTGCCAAACCAAAAAGAATCCATTAATCACATGTACCGGTCTGTTCCTTATCGCGGATAAGCGGGAAAGGGTTAACGAATCAAAATCTGGAAAACACGTACTAGAGGGTATCCGGCGGGCCGATGATCGTGACTTGCCACTCGAAGAGATTAGAATCGTCCACGAGACCCGCAGAGAACCCGTCGACGGGATTCTTCAGCAAATCTGCGCAAAGGATACGAAAACGACTAAGTCCGGAAGCAAAGGACATGTTTCACCGCTAAAAGAAGATCCAGCAGAGCTATTTCGTCGACCAGCATAGCGTCGCTCCATGGAGAGGCAACCCGTTGGTTAATCACCTCTCAGTTGCTTCTTCAAAAGCAAGCAGGCCTGGGAATCCGCCATTCTTCTACCCTCACCCCACTACGACCGCAACAAACCGAAGCCAAGAAGGACGAACGCAAGCGATCGTAGACTTAAACTAGCAGTGGGATAAGAAACTAGAACTAGTAGAGACCTAATCAAGTTGCATCAGCTGGTTTAGGCTAGGAGGTAGGGATGGAAAGTCTATCTAGATTCTTCTAGGTGAAAATGGTTTGAAGGTATGAGGGTGACTTTTGTTGAGAGCCTAGGGAATTCCAGTTCGCAAAGAACTGATCCGTTTCTGCAATTATAAGTAGATGAATGGTACCAGAAGATAGTATCGCTAGAGAGTCAAAGCTCCAGCATGGTGATTGGGAAAACAACTGTAGACATGGTTGCTGGAAAGTGCACGATGATTCCTCAAATTCCGGACCCGTGGATCAGTTCTGAACCAAACGGGTTCCTTCCCGCGTCCAACGTAGGTCAGTGGAATTCCAGAATTTTCTCAACAATCAAATGTTTCGTCTGACCACAGGTTGTCAGAAGTATTTTCCCATGTCAGACCACTTTTCCCTAGTAAGGAGCTCGTCCCCTCAACCAGTAAATCCCTCTTTCACATCAGATGAATAAGGATCCCTGTCTCATTTTCCAAACTTGAGAAACATCGTATGTTAGAAAACAATCCTGGGTAGGGGCAACCTTGAACCTACTTCAAAAAAGACATATGTGATTCGGAAAACCACCAATCTGAAACCTTGGAGTTGTCCCTTAGAGAAACCTTAGAAAAGCTTGGAGTTTTTCCACTAGTGTTGTCAGGAGCATCAGCAAGATAAGTCTCCTTATTCCTGATCAGGCTCTCCTTACTTTGATATCAAGCCCCTTATATCTGGGTGAGACTCTTGGGTCGTGTAACTGGCAGCGAAGCCTGGAATGCCCGGCTTAGCTCTGGACAAAGCCATGGTTTCGAAATCAGCTAAGGATGAGGTTTCCGTTAAGTCGAAGTTCATGCGACGGCTAGCAGCGAGCGATGAGGAGACGAGGGACCAGGCGTTTGAGGTCTTGTCGCGATGGCTGGTCGCGCGCAAGGAGATCGCCGAAGAAGACCTCCTGAAAATCTGGAAGGGCCTGTTCTACTGCATGTGGCATTCGGACAAACCGCCGGTTCAGGCGAACCTCGCGGAAAGAATGTCCGGTATTCTGATCTCGCTCGATCCTGACCTCGCGCTGCTGTTTCTGCGAACCTTCTGGAAGACGATGCGACGGGAATGGGGAGGAATCGACTACCATCGTCTGGATAAATTCTATATGCTCGTCCGCCTGGTCATGCGGAATATTCTCGAGTTTTTGGAGAAACGGGAGTGGGAGGAAGCGGTGGTTTCGGATCTTGCTGCGTGCGTCATGCAACAGGGGCTTCTTGCTAAGGACAAATATCGGGCTATCGGTCTCGAACTGCATATACTGGATATTTTCAACGAGCTCTTTAAAAAGTCTGGAGGGGGTGACGTCAGAGCGGTGAAGGCTGTTCTGCAATTCTCTAAGCCAGTGGTGGGTGTGATTCAAACGAAGGAGGACGGACGGTTGCACAAGCGGGCTCTGAGTTCCGTGTTCTCGGGACTGGCGGAATATTTACGGAACGAAGCGACAAACTCGACCGATGCTTCGTACGTGGCTGCGCTTCAAGAGGCAGCCGCCGAGATGTCCGCTGATATCAAAGCAGCGCACGGCACGGCGAAAGGGAAAAAGAAAAGCATGCTGCGGAAAGGACAGGCGATTTTCACGGCGCTGATAAACGAACTGTCTGGGAGTGATCCTGCTGAAGGAGGGGAAAATGGGGAAGAGGAAGATGATGGTGATGACATGCAGGGTTTAGATGAGGACGGCGCTGCTGGCGGAAAGGACGACGCTGGTGATGGTGAAGGGGAAGAGATGGAAGAAGGGGAAGAGGAGGAGGGAGAAACCGGGGGACAGGGTTCAGGGGAAGGTTCAGGGGACGAGGAGGATGGGGAAGCGGAGGACGGGGAAGCGGAGGACGGGGAAGCGGAGGACGGGGAAGCGGAGGGCGGGGAAGCGGAGGACGGGGAAGAGCAGGACGCGGAAGCTGAAATGGAACAGCAGAATGGCGCGAAGGTGGAAGATGATTGTGGGGAGCATGGTGAGGAGGAAGCAGATAAACCCAGCGGGAGTGTAAGTAATGGAGTCGTGGCTGGGTCTGCTGATGCGGGTGGTGAGAAGCAGCCGAATTCGACCTCCAAGCGCAAGAGACGGCAGCAGCAGGAGCAGCAGAAGCAGCAGCAACAGCAGCAGCCGAAGGAGGGCAGTGGTTCGGGCAAGAAACGCAAGGGAAAGAAGGATGTCGTGACCAAGGAAGCAGAGAGTGCTGAGAGGGAGGGGCAGCAGACGGTACAGGGACAAGCAGTTGAAGACGCATCAGCAGCAGCAGCAGCAGACCCTATCCCCACTGCCGCAACAGCTACCCTACGATCAGTGCTGGTGCACCCGCATTTGTCCATAAACGCCAAGGCTGAAGGACCGGGCGGCAGCGGGGCGGCAGACGAGGAGGAAGCGGACGGGTTCCGCACGCCAGAAAAGGACATCATAGACGCCTTCTCACACTTCGATTTCCCCCAGGATCTCGCCACAGGAGCCGGCAGCGTGGGTGCTCGGATCATGGCTGCAGGTGAAGCAGCCGCCGCAGCAGGGAGCGAGGCAGGAGGTCCGGTGACCCGATCCAAGGACGGGAGAACAGACGCTGCAGCAGTCGGCGTGCAGTCAGCTCCGGCAGGAAAGGCGGGCGGTGCTGCGGGCAAGCGGAAGAAAAGGGTGAAATTCGTGCTGAGCCGCAACCTGGAGATGGCGAAGGGAGGCCCGGTGCCGCCTTCTGCTGTGCGCACACCACCTGCTTCCCGGCCTAAAGGCAGTGCCCTCAAGCCTGGGACCAAGCCGGGGCCGATTAACATGCGCATGCTTATGGCGACTGCAGACACGAGCCCCTCTCAGATGACTGCTTCTGGGCGGAAGAAGATGGATAAAGCTGCTCGCTCTCCTGCCAAGTCCCCTTCTGCTGTGTCTCTGCGCCTGGCTAATTTCCTGCAGTGAGCCACTGCTAGCATGTGGCTTGAGGAAGCGAGGCAGGCAGCCTTTTTTGAATGCTGCTAGGTTGCTGCACTGCTGCTTCGCTGCTTGACATGATTGAGGGGGGGGGCTGAAATGTCTTCGCCTAGACACATTTTGATGTCTTCTTTCATTCATGCTATTTCGCAAACTACCTTCTACTTTTTGCTGTTGCGCGAGACAATCTGGTTTGGTCGTGTTCTGAACAACTGTCTGTACCATTGATAGCATACGTACGTACGTATAGAATGACAATGGATTGATCAGGACATCCGTAAATGACACTCATGAAGGTTGCTGAGTGGAATGCCTGGTGAAGACAAGCCTGCTGTCAAATGTTGAACATTGATATGATAGGCTATAGTGAGTTGCACTCTAGGGGGTACAGCTTCTAGGGTTGCTCATTTGTACCCCATTCGTTTCTATTCCAATCATTCCGTTGTTCGCTAACTTTGAGATGGTATCATGAGTAGGTGTCGATCCTCTCGCCTAGCCTAGCCTAGCTCGCGCCCTAGCGCCCTCCGCGCCCTTGCGCCCTAGCACACTCCGCGCCCTCCGCGCCCTCCGCGCCCTTGCGCCCTAGCACCCTCCGCGCCCTCCGCGCCCTCCGCGCCTTAGCCACCGCGCCCTCCGCGCCATCTCCGCGCCTTAGCGCCCTCCTCCTCCGCGCGTTAGCGCCCTCCGCGCCCCTAGCCTGCGCCCCTAGCCCGTCGCCCACGCCCACGCCCTAGCCCGTCGCCCAGGCGCCCGCCCTAGCCCGTCGCCCAGGCGCCCAGGCGCCCACCCCAGCCCGTCGCCCAGGCTCCCGCCCCAGCCCGTCGCCCAGGCGCCCGCCCCAGCCCGTCGCCCAGGCGCCCGCCCTAGCCCGTCGCCCAGGCGCCCGCCCTAGCCCGTCGCCCAGGCGCCCACCCCAGCCCGTCGCCCAGGCGCCCGCCCCAGCCCGTCGCCCAGGCGCCCGCCCTAGCCCGTCGCCCAGGCGCCCGCCCTAGCCCGTCGCCCAGGCCTGCGCCCTAGCCCGTCGCCCAGGCGCCCGTCCTAGCCCGTCGCCCAGGCCTGCGCCCTAGCCCGTCGCCCAGGCGCCCGTCCTAGCCCGTCGCCCAGGCGCCCGTCCTAGCCCGTCGCCCAGGCGCCCTCCCTGGCTCGTCACCCCAGCCCCGCAGGCAGCGCGCCACGCGGGTAGCGCGCCCCGCGGGTAGCGCGCCCCGCAGGAGGCGCGCCCCGCGGGTAGCGCGCCCCGCAGGCAGCACACCCTGCAGGCAGCGCGCCCCGGGGTGCTTTAGTGCCAGAAAATAAATAAATAAATTAAACCCTAAAAAAAAAAAAAAAAAAAAAAAGGGGTTCACAGTGGGGGCCTGCGACTGTCGCCCGCGTTCCTGCTTGCCGGACGACCTGCACAGTTGCCTACATCCCGCAGCCGTCAGTACTGCAGCCCCTACTGTCGCACGTACTTTCCACTGCCAGTGGCTCTACTAGCGGCAGCCGACAGCCGCACTTACGGTCTCTAGCCCCGGCCGTTCCTACCTCCAGCCAGCCCTAGCTCGCCGCTTCTAGCTCCAGCCGTTCTCGCTCCAGCCGTTCTCGCACCTGGCGCTTCTAGCTCAGTTTGCTCCGTGCTCCAGCCGTTCCTCGCCTAGTTTCACCTGGCGCTCCTAGCTTAGTTCGCTCCGTGCTCCAGCAGTTACTCGCCTGGTTTCACCTGGCGCTCCTAGCTTAGTTCGCTCCGTGCTCCAGCAGTTACTCGCCTGGTTTCACCTTGCGCTCCTAGTTGTTCTCGTTTTTCACAGCAGCCTGTCGCTCCTGTCGCTCCTAGCCTGCCGCTCCTGCACCCCGCTAGCTTTTATCATGGAGTCCGCTAGGGTTCTCCAGCAGCAGGGACAGCAGCAGCGGCCTTTTCAGCAGTGGCTTCCGCAGCGGCAGGGGCGCCCTCAGCAACTGTGGCGCCCTCAGCAGCCATGGGGGCCTGGTGGTTCAGGTCGCGTTGGCTGCAGCAGCGGCCCAGCCAGCTGGGGGGCTCGTCGCGGTGGCCGCGACGTCGGCCCCTGCCAGTACCGGATCCTGACCGGCCCTGGTGCTGGCACTACCTGCTGGCGTCCTGACCACTCTGCACAGCGCTGCTACAGCCGCCTCGACGACCTTTACCGTGAGCGTTTTGGGCCTGAGTCGGCTCCCCCGATCTGGCCCGGTCTGTTTCGTAGTGGTTTCCCTGTGTTTGATATGTCTATGGATGCTGTTTATTCTGTCACGTACGGATCTCTTGGCTTACGTGTACCTAGCTTAGGACCTTTGCCTGTTGCTAGTGTCGGTACTTGTGCTTTTAGTGTAGGTGCTTGTGTAGTCACTAGCCCAGCCGTGACGACTGCTGTTGCGTCGCTCTCCTTCACGCTGGACTCCGGCGCGTCTCAGTGTTTCTTCCGCGACCACACCACTGTCACACCTCTTTCGGCTCCAGTCCCAGTTGCCCTGGCTGATCCTACTTCAGGACCAGCAGTTGCTCGTAGCTCGACCACCCTCCCGTGCTCGGCTGTCCCCTCTGGTTTCCTCACTGGTCTCTACATCCCCTCGTTCTCTCGGAACTTGGTGGGTGTTGGATACCTTCAGGACCGGGGGATCACAGTCACTTTTCCTGCGCACGGGAGGACTGCGATCTGTACGGACTCTTCCACTGGGGCAGTTCTTGCCACGTTCACCAGAGAGCCCCACTCAGGTCTCTTCGTCCTGCACACTCCGCCCCCGCAGGTAGCTGCGTCTGGTCAGGTTGCTTCATCCCCCCCGGTAGCAGAGTCCGGTCAGGTGGCTGTGTCCAGTCCGGTCACTGTGTCCAGTCCAGTCGCTGCGTCTTGCTCCTGTCGCTCTCTCGCCCACCGCACCGTCCTGTGGCACCACCGTCTTGGCCACCCGTCGATCCCTCGCCTTCGTGGCATGCTCAGTCAGGGACTAGTCACAGGTCTCCCACGCACCTTCCCGTCGCTCCCTCCCTCGCTTGCCCCTCCTTGCTCTCCGTGCGTCGCCGGTCGCTTACGTGCCACTCCCCACTCCTCCTCCCTTCGTCCGGCCACCGCTCCCTTCGAGACTCTCCACTTGGACGTCTGGGGCCCTGCCCCGACGCAGGGGTCTGGGAGGGAGCGCTACTTTCTGGTGGTCGTCGACGACTTCTCCAGGTACACCACAGTGTTTCCTCTTGCGAAGAAGTCCGAGGTGACTGCTACGCTGATCAGGTGGCTTCTAGCCACTGAGGGCACTCGTGGTCGTCGAGTCAGTTGTCTTCACTCCGACCGTGGGGGCGAGTTTCGCTCCGGCATTCTCGGCGGATTCTGCGGCGAACAGGGCATCACCCAGTCCTGGACGCTGCCAGAGTCCCCACAGCAGAATGGGGTTGCTGAGCGCCGCATAGGCTTGTTCATGGACATCGCCCGCACGTCCATGATTCATGCCCGTGCGCCCCATTTTCTGTGGCCTCACGCGGTTCGCTACGCCGCACACCAGCTGAACCTCCAGCCGCGTGTCTCGCGGCCCGAGGCTTCACCGACCAGTCTCTGGACTGGATCCCCTGGTGTTGGGTCGGCCTTTCGAGTCTGGGGCTGCCTTGCACTTGTTCGCGACACCTCCGCGGACAAGCTCTCGGCACGCGCCGTCCCCTGTGTCTTCCTTGGTTTCCCAGTGGACTCTGCTGACTGGTCTTTTTACCACCCTCCCCTCCACCAGTTCCTAGATTCCCGTGACGTCCGGTTTGACGAGTCCGTGTCCTACTACACCCGGTACCCCTGTCGAGGTCTCCCGGTACCCCCTCCCCCTCTCTTCCTCGCACCCTCTCCTCCTCCTGCTCCCGCTCCTCCGGTACCCCCGCCCCCCCCTGGTCCTGCCCCGTCTGGTGTGTCCCACGCTACCCCTCTCCCCTCGGTCGCGCGTCAGGTAGCGTCTCCCTCCCCGCAGTCCTCCTCACAGTCCCCTCAGCAGCCTTCGGCACTTCCGCGACAGGTTACTGTGGACTCGGTTGGTGTTGGAGCTGGAGGTGCAGCCGCTGGCGGTGCTCGGTCTGGGGGTGCTCGGTCGCGGGGTACTGAAGCTGGAGGTGCTGGCGCAGGTGACGCTAGCTCTGGGGGTGCTGGAGCTGGAGGTGCTGGCGCAGGTGGCGCTAGCTCTGGGGGTGCTGGAGCTGGAGGTGCCGGCACTGGAGGTGCTGGTTCTGGGGGTGCTGGAGTTGGGGGTGCTGGCACTAGCGGTGCTAGTTCTGGGGGTGCTGGAGTTGGAGGTCCTAGCACTGGCGGTACTGGTTCTGGGGGTGCTGAGTCTGAGGAGACTGACGCTGGAGACCCTGGTTCTGCGGAGTCCACCCCGCCCCCCCACCGCCACGACACGCGTCTCCAGGCTGCTCGTCGGCGTGAGCGTGAGGAGCAGGAGCGGTTGGAGAGGGAGCGGCAGGAGCTGCGGGTGCTGGACCTTCTGGAGCAGCAGCGGCAGCAGCAGCAGCAGCAGCAGCAGCAGCAGCAGCAGCAGCAGCAGCAGCAGCAGCAGCAGCCGCAGCCACAGCCGCAGCCACAGCCGCAGCAGCAGCAGCAGCCGCAGCCGCAGCCGCAGCGGCCGCAGCCGCCACCGCAGCTTCCTCTAGAGCGGCGGTTGTTCCCACCTGTGAGTGGCTTGCGGGCCCTTGGCCTTTCCTCCTCTCCTCCTGTCCGCTCCCAATCTCCTCCTGTGTTTGTTCCTCCGTTGCCTCCTCCTGACGACCGTCCGGCGGTCTGGTCTTCTCCTCCTCCTCAGTCTCCTCCTCCCTCTGTCCGTCGCGACTTGATCACTCATTGTCCTCCGCGTGCTCGTCACTCGTACCCTGTTACTGACCTCCACACTGCCCTCCTTTGTTCGTCTCGTCGTCGTTCTCCTTCTCCTGTGTCCGTTCTCCCGTCTCCTCCTCCGTCCTCTCTACCTGCCCTCCCCACTCCTATCTCTGACTACTACCGCGCTGTTCGTCCTGTTGCCGCACGTGTCCTCACCACTCTTGTCACCCACCCTCGTTTCCCTCCGTCGTCTGTCTCGGCTCTCACTGCCGCTGTCGCTGAGTTTGCTGCCGCCAGCCGCCTTGACTACGCCACCCGTGTGGTGCCAGCTCCTCCCTACCGTCCTCTGTCCGTCGGGGGTGGGTTTGCCCTTGGCTGTGACGTCCTAGAGGACAGAGAGTCTGAGCTGGAGTACTGGGCAGCCGCTTCTCCCTCTGTGTGTGCCATGCTGCTCTCCCCTGAGGGAGACCCCGACGCCCTTGACATACCGACTCCTCGCACTTACCGCGAGGCAGTGTCAGGGGCGTGGGCCTCTCAGTGGAAAGCGGCTATGGACTCAGAGTTGGCGTCTTGGAGATCCACAGGCACCTACGTCGACGCAGTTCCCCCTCCCAGGGCGAACGTAGTCGATGGCATGTGGCTCTTCAAGGTGAAGCGGCCGCCTGGAGCACCGCCGGTGTTCAAGGCGCGCTACGTGGCTAGGGGTTTCAGTCAGCGTGAGGGAGTTGACTTCTTCCAGACCTTCGCCCCGACCCCGAAGATGACTACTCTTCGGGTGTTACTCCACATAGCAGCGCAGCGAGACTACGAGCTGCACTCCCTCGACTTCTCCACTGCGTTCCTCCAGGGCCGACTGCACGAGGAGATCTGGCTGCGCCGTCCTCCTGGCTTCACTGACACCTTCCCACCTGGGACCCAGTGGAGCCTGAGGCGACCAGTCTACGGTCTCCGCCAGTCGCCCCGTGAGTGGCACGACACTCTTCGCTCCACGCTTTGTGACCTTGGGTTCAGCCCGTCCTCCGCCGACCCGTCGCTGTTTGTTCGAGCGGGTTCTACTCCTTTCTTTATCCTTGTCTACGTTGACGACTTGGTGTTTGCTACAGCAGACAGGGCAGCCCTGGCTCAGGTGAAGTCCGAACTGCAGAAGAGACACAAGTGCACTGACCTGGGTGAGCTGCAGCGCTACCTTGGCCTGCAGATCACCCGGGACAGAGCCGCTCGCACCATCACACTGACGCAGTCACACATGGTGCAGCAGGTCCTTCGGCGGTTCCACTTCCAGTTCTCCACCACACAGCCCACTCCTCTTGCTGTTGACCACAGACTCACGGGCCCCTTTCCTGACGAGCCCTTTGAGTCCAGTGGACCCTACGCAGAGCTGGTGGGCTGCCTCATGTACCTGATGACTTGTACTCGACCGGACCTCGCCTTTCCACTCAGCATCCTTTCTCGCTTTGTTGCGACTGGGAGACACCGCCCTGTCCACTGGACAGCTGCTGTGAGGGTGGCGAAGTACCTGGCGACTACATCAGGCTTGGGGCTTGTGCTTGGAGGGACTCAGCTAGTGGCGTTGACTGGTCACTGCGACTCTTCCTACGCTGACGACGTGGAGACTCAGCGTTCGACTCAGGGTTACTGCTTCAGTCTGGGAGCTGGTGCTGTGTCGTGGAGGTCTACACGGTCGTCGTCTGTGGCTACTTCCAGTGCAGAGGCAGAGATCTACGCTGGTGCCATGGCGGCACAGGAGCTTCGCTGGTTGACCTTCTTGCTCGCTGACCTTGGTGAGCGGCCTCGCTCTGCACCGACCTTGTACGCTGACAACAAGGCCATGATCCTCCTGTGTCGAGAGCCTCGACTAGAGAGCAGAGTGAAGCATATTGACGTGAGGTACTTCCTCCTGCGAGAGCTGCAGCGACGCGGTCAGGCACGCCTGGACTTTGTGGCCTCAGAGGCCAACACTGCAGACGTCTTCACCAAGGCCTTGGCGCTTGGTGACCACCACAGGTTCTGTGTGCAGTTGGGGCTTGTTGAGGTAGGCCCTCGGTTGGTGTAGTCCTGCTGCTTGCTCTGCTTGTTGTGCTTTGTATTTATATCCTAGTGAACTCTTGAACTGGCCTTGTGGCCGCTTGCTTGCGCTCGGAATTTGTGTGGTGTCCTTGAGATCCACCCTGAGCTTGCCTTGGTTCTTGGTTTGACTGGTCTTGTGACCGTTTGTTCACCTTGCTTGCTTTGATGCCCCTCACTTAGCCTATGGGGGTGTGTCAAATGTTGAACATTGATATGATAGGCTATAGTGAGTTGCACTCTAGGGGGTACAGCTTCTAGGGTTGCTCATTTGTACCCCATTCGTTTCTATTCCAATCATCCCGTTGTTCGCTAACTTTGAGACCTGCCTGCACATTGGCAGCGTCAAAAACAAACATCACATTCACAGTTCAGGCCACTGCTCATCAATTCAATACAACAATGGGACCAATAAAAGAAGTAAATCAGGCGCAAGAAGCATTTCATTATCATTAGGCCAACCTTCACAAAAACAGAATACAGTAATCCCCCAGATAAAGCCCCCCTCCAAGACCCCACCGCACAGCACCGCACCATCATAGTGCAAGTTGACATCTTAGCATCCGCAGGATAGTCGTGAGCAGGTATCCCTACTTGACTTAGGGACCCATGCAGCAGGAATGGCAAGTAGAAAAACAATGAAGCGAAACGGAAAAGAAAGAAAACGAATGAAGCCTGTACGGGCCAGAGAAGGAATTCGGTACGTGCCCTGCGCTCCTGGCCAGTCAGAATAGGACTCGTTTCAGGTGAAAGGGCAATTGAAAAGCAGACGCGATTATCATCCACAGACCCCATGCAGCAGCAAGGGTAGCACAGGAAGAAGCAGCAGGTGAGCATGCAGGTCACCAGGTGTAACCATCCACATTCGTCTCTGTTTGCTCTGCCTTGCTGGGGCCTCACTTGTACACCATACAGCAGCAGCCAAGCAGCAGCAGCAGCAGCGGCAGCAGCAGCAGCGGCAGCAGCAGCGGCAGCAGCAGCAGCAGCAGCAGCGGCAGCAGCAGCAGCGGCAGCAGCAGCAGCGGCAGCGGCAGCAGCAGCGGCAGCAGCAGCGGCAGCAGCAGCAGCAGCGAAGCCTATCTAAATACACCAGCGTGTGAATACTATCTGCTACAGGCATCAGATGATCAGAGTAGCTGGCGAAGCTTCCACCGATGCATGTCAGGTCTTGTAACCTGAATATGTGTGCCTTGCCATATCATACCCCCTCATCCTTAACCAATGTCTTGAATGCTCCTCCCTATCCTGCTTGCCTGCCCCCGACCCTCCCTCCATCTCCTTCCTCCTCTCACTCTCACCCCAGCCCCTCCCATGATCCCATAGTAATTCAGTAGGGCAACACAGGGAGGTATCGGTGTAAGGGAGATGTTTTAGTTGGCTAAAGCACTAGAGAACCAACCCCCCTGGCATCCGCTCCTCCACACACCATGGGCTTCATTCACAATGTTTACATCCACTGCCCCCATGACCCAACCTCTGCACCTCCCTCCCTGCGCCACGTGACCTACTGCACCCACACACACGCCCGTAGTGCGAATCTCGCACCCCACAATCTTGCAGCTCGCCTTCCCCTCTTCCCCCTCCTGTGCCGCCGTCCCCACTCTCCATCCCCCACGCAACACATCTGCAGTCCGTATCCTCGTAGTGTACTTCAGCTGCCCATCTCCACCCCCTACTGCTGTGCACACCGCTTCCTTGCACTCCCCAGCTTTGCGGCTTGTATCCAAACACTCTGTTGTGGAACAAGCAGGTGCCACCCCATCACAGCTCCCTCCCCTATGGTACCTCCCTTCCCCAAGTAGCACCTCCCCCATGCAGCACGTCCCCCATCGCAGACACGCCTCTGGCTATCGCATTAACAGGCAGGTGCGGTCCCTCCTACCACTGCCACACATGCCCACTTCCCTGGCCTGCTCAACACCGGGATAGGTGGGGGGATGAGGAAGGGAAACCGATTTTTTAGTCGAATCAGAAGTAACCTACCACTGCCACACATGCCCACTTCCCTGGCCTGCTCAACACCGGGATAGGTGGGGAAGAGGATTGTAAAGTGGGTTGTGTGGTGGGGAGTGGAGCAGGGGAGGAGGCGGACGGGAGGGAGGGTGTGGGGAAAAGGGGGACAGAGAGAGGTTAATGATGGAAGCAATACCGGCCATCAACGGGGAACCATGCACCAAAGGGGTTCCAATCTGCGAAATTCTTTCTGAAAAAAAATAAGGGTGCGAATTCTACCAAGCACATACTCTACCAGCAAGCACCACCAGCAAGCACCGCCACCAAGAACCAACCCCAGCTCACCAGTGCGAACGCGCGACCCCGAGCGAATCCCTGACAGTGCGTTAGTCAGTCCCAGCCCCCGCTTGCTATCCAGTGCGTCCGGTGTGCTCCCCCGCACGCCCCCTGCCCCCGCTGCTGCCTGTGCGGGCGCCATCCCGCCAGCAGCAGGCGCTCTGCGCGCCCCTGACCCGCTGCCCGTCCGCGCGTATGCATGGCGCTCTGCCTCCGCCTGGGGGGAGAGGGGAAGGGGAGAGGGGAAGAACCGCAGGGGGGAGTGTGTGTGTTGAAAGACAGCATCGGCAGCAGCAGCGGCTCTGCGCGCCCCTGACCCACTGCCCGTCCGCCCATATGCATGGCGCTCCGCCTCCGCCTGAGGGGGAGGGGAAGGAGGGGGGAGGCGGCAGAGAGCAGGTGTGGTGAATGCCCATGCGATGAACATAAAATCAGCTTCATGGGCTCTGCGCGCCGCTGACCCGCTGCCTGTCCAGCCGCCCATATGCATGGTGCTGGAAAAGGGGAGAGGGGAGGTGAGTCCACAGAGCCGAGCGCTCGTATTGACAGCAGTACCCTGTACGGCTCTTCATGTGAGACACTCTGCATGCCCCCTGACCCGCCCCCCGACCCGCCCTGACCCGCTGCCTGCCCAGCCGCCTGAACGCATGGCGCTCCGCCGCACCAGTATGGACGCAGCCTCTCAACCCGCTACCCAATCCCCCTCACCTCCTCGTCCAAGGGAATGGGGCTCCGGTGTCGGGGACTCTCCATGCTCTCCATGGGCGTTCCATAACCCCACCTCCGCCCACACACCAGAGCCTATCAGCCCGCTAACCAGTCTCTCACCTCCTCGTCTGCATGCGGCATGGGACTCCGGTGCCGGGGGCTCTCCATGGGAGACCTGCGGCGAGCCAAGTCCGCGTCTGGTGGGGCGGACAGGCGGGGGAAAGTGGAACGGGGGAGCGGGGGGGGAAGGGGAAGACGAAAGTGAGTGGATTTTTAACAAAATGGAAGGTGAATGCTCTGAACTGGACTGACGAATGCACGTGAATCTAGATGTGGGATTGATGAAACGGAAGATGGACGCGAGAAAGGGGGGGAGGATGAGGGAAGAGAGCAGTGAGGATCATTTGGAGGATCAGAGGGATTCAGGAAAAAGAGAAACATGTGGGTGGAGAGGGAAGAAGGGAGGGGGAGGAAAGGACGGGGTCAGCGGGAGGGGAGGGAGAGCTGGGACAATGGAAAGCGGTTAGGGAAGCGAATGGCGTGAACCGAATGCGAGAAGTGAGAAGAGGTGCCGAAGCTGAAGCTACAACAGACCTGGTGCATTGGCAGCGGGTGATGGTGCTGCAGCTGCCGCATTTGCGCCCTGCACATGCGAGCACACACACACAGAAGGAAACACCCAGGTACGAGCATTTTCACACAGGCATGCACGCACACATCCCCCCTCGCACCCCCCACCCCCCATCCACACGCATACGCACAGCCCCAGACACACGCACGTAGGCCCAACACACACAAACATGGGGAGTTACACCGAGAGAACGCGGAACGAACGGCTGCAGCACGCGGGGCAACCATGCAAGGCAGAGCACGTGGGGAAACCAGCACGTGGGGAAACCAGCCGTTTCCTTCACATCACATGAGGATGCTGGCATCGGCATGCCAAAGGACCAAGTCAAGTTAGTGAAGACAATTAAGAAAAGAAAATGGACGGGAGCAGGGATGTAAGGGGAGTAGAGATAGATGGGGAGTAGGGTGTACCATCATGCGCGGTGGGGCAACAGAGGCTTGGGACTGCTGGTACTTGAGAATGGTCCAGTCAAACACATAGTCAAACTGGAACCCTGGTGGGGGGGTTGATGGCATGTTGAGGGGAGTTGTGGCATGTTGGTGCAATGATGGCATGACAGGGCGGGGTGAATGATGACCTGCAGTTACCTAAAGCAGGTATTGACAGGACATGTAGTTGGGAGTTGACTCAACGGACGCCTAATACCCCTCACAGCACACACACCTTTACGAATGAAGAGGTCACGGAAGAGGCGTTTGAGGTATGCATAGTCGGGCTTGTTGACATGGTGGGGCTGACTGAGGTACTGATGGTGGTGGTGCTGACATCAACCCAACCCTCACAACACACGCACCTTCGCGAATGAAGAGGTCGCGGAAGAGGCGCTTGAGGTATGCATAGTCGGGCTTGTCATCAAAACGCAGCGAGCGGCAGTAGTGGAAGTAGGACGCGAGCTCCGTGGGATAGCCCTTGCAGAGCACCTGGTGGCGGGGTGAGGGTGGTGAGGTGGCAGCGAAGGGGGAGAGGACCGGCAGGTTTTCAGGAAGGATGAGCGACAGTAGTGGCAGTAAGACGCGAGCTCCGTGGGGTAGCCCTTGCAGAGCACCTGGGAAGGATGGGGGGGACGGGGATTGGGGTGGGGCAAAAAAGAAACAGGCGGCATCTGTTTAGGACAAGCATGAGAGGATGGTCATGTGAAGCATGCAGAAAGGAGGGATGATGGTGGCGGAACGGGGGGGCATGGTGCACGCGAGGTAACTGGATTCGTCATGACGTAGCAATGTCATGGCTCAACGTATCTATGTGTGGGAATTGACGCAGCAACGCATACCTCAATGGGAGTGGACATTTTCTTCTGACTTTTGAGTCGACTCAAAAGTCACCTCGCAGCAACGCATACCTCAATGGGAGTGGACATTTTCTTCTCGCTGATCTTCTCGTACTTCTGCTTCTTCGTACCCGCCTTCAGACCCTGCCATGGCAAGCTGTACGACACAGCACAGCACATCACAAGACACAAACACGTGCCTTAGCTAACAGCCCAACCAACTGCAAGAGCGTTGACCTGCAAACCCACTCAAAACAGCCCAACCGTAAACCATCTCGATGAAGGAAGTACCTTAGCACGATGCAGGACATACGGTTCTTCAGGGAAGGAGAGCACTAGTGAACGAAAAGCCTTAGTAAAAATTAAGGGCCCTGTTTTTTTAGGCAATCTAACGGCCAGAAGCGCACCTTCCTCGAAGGAAGTACATTAAAACGTAGCCCAACGACTCCAGGTCGTCCCTCCGGCTTTGCTCTGCCCACAACATAAAAGGCACAGACTGGGGACATGAGCGTGCAAGCACAGTGTGTTATTTCGAACAATGACGAGCGTAAGAGACCAAAGCCGGGGCGAGGGGCGAGGAGCGAGGAGCGAGGAGCGAAGGGAGAGGGACGCAGGGACGGAAAGTGAGGGGAGAGCAGGGGCGAGGGGCGTCAGGCACATACCGATGCCGAGATGTGTGTTGATGCTGGCGTAGCGAGCTGTGCCCGTCAGGTTCTTGTTCTCTCTGCACCACGGCACCAGGCACACCATGCACGCACACCAAGAGAACGCGGCCAAGAGCGGGAGGAGAGGAGAGAACCACAACGCGCGGGGAGAGGCAGCGGGAGAGCACACGCGAAGCACACCAACATGAGACGAGCGCGGGTCAGCGTGGATAGACGGATAGATGCAGGGGCAGGGCACCGGGAGGGGGGGAGGTGGAGGGTGGGAGGGGGGATGCGATGGGTGGGGGAAGAAGATCTGGCGAACGGCAAGCAAGGGGAGAAGATTCGGAAGGAGGAGGGAAAGTGTAAGGGGACTGGGGCGCGAGCGTGAGACTGAGTGGAGGCAGAGAGGACGCACCGAATCTCTCGCAAAAGTCGCAGAAAGGACGTAGCGAGCACGTAACGACGCATACTAGACTCGCGGACGCACGGGCGCACCTGTAGGGGATGTGCTGGTGCGTGGTGTGGTCGCGGTACTTCTTAGCAAGCCCGAAGTCGATGATGTACACCTGGTTGGCGCGCCTGCCCAGCCCTGCCCAGCCCTGCCCAGCCCTGCCCAGCCCTGCCCAGCCCCATGAGGAACCTCCTGAGGCGACTCAGGGACGCACCTGTAGGGGATGTGCTGATGAGTAGTAGGGTCGCGGTACTTCTTGGCGAGCCCGAAGTCGATGATGTACACCTGGTTGGCGCGCCTGCCCAGCCCCATGAGGAAATTGTCCGGCTTGATGTCGCGATGCAGGAAGCTCTTCGAGTGCACGTACTCCACCCGATTGATCTGAAGGAATAGAGAACCAGCGGGGTCAAACTGTTCAAATCAGACGGGATTCGAGCTGTTACAACTATCCGCCTTCATGTCGCGGTGCAGGAAGCCCTACGGGTGCACATACTCCAGTCTCTTCTGCAGTAACATTTATCTCATCCACTTTCAACCCATCCTGTCCTATCCCCTCCCCTCGTCTCTACTTCGCCCGCTTCGAGCATCGCGAAACATCAAGAGAGTGCCATTCCTCGACAAACGATGGCGATATGCGCCCTGTCGTACTCCGTTCCTTCGCGCAATCTTGAGATTCTCCGCGAACCACCAGGCATGCTTCCACACCTCCGCGTCACTCTCCGAACTACCCCTACCCGCCTGTCCGTGACTACTGGACCGCTACCAGACGAGCGGTCAGCTGCTCGCTATTTTAACCCTAAAGGGCGTACCCCGAACTTCAAGTCAGTTTCGGAGATTCTGGCCACTATCCCAACTACCCGTCGAGAGGCACTCCGCCAACCACCGGCAGCCGAGGAGTTTCAACCCCCATACGCCAGCAAATCTTCGAAACTGCTCCGGTCACTCCGTACGAATCGGAAAACCGCTCGCCGACTATCATTAATATACTCGACGACGTGAAAAACACCCGGCAACTGATTCGCGAGAATGAGACCGGTGTAAGCAAATACTTCTGGCGACTGATCGGGTTGACTCAGGTCACCGAAACACCCACCAGCTGATCCGCGAGCATGAGCACGGTCTTGAGCGAGAACTTCCTGGCGCAGAAGTTGAAAAGGTCCTCGAGGCTGGGCCCGAGCAGGTCGATGACCATGACATTGTAGTCCCCCTCCACGCCGAACCACCGGATGTTCGGGATGCCGGCTGCCACGACAGCAAAAATATTCGTTAGATCGGCAGAGCGTGAAGTATTCGAAAAACACGAGTAAACTATTGGTAAAATCCACATAACGTCGGTATCTTATATATTCGGGAGTATAGTTACACGATGCCGGAAACTATAGGTTTGATATACGTACTTCCTCCTTGAAGAATCCTGTACAGCTTCGACTCGTAGAGTAGCTGGGGATGCTTCGTCTTGGTCGATTCCTACACGACAAACAGCCATGGACGCCAGCTGTCAGCGACATGGAGAAGAAGAAGAAAAACTACGACGATAGGGTAGCAAACTATGAAAAGCTGAGTGGTTACCAGCTTTATGCCGACTTCTTCATTTGTCTGAACGTTTGTTCCTGTCAACGACATAAATAGGGGAACGGTAATGGTAGAAGAGGGAGAAATTATTTGAGGCGGCGAACGGCATGAGGTATGGACAAGACGTGCTGGTGTCGACGAAACGGACGATGGTGTTAAGGACATAAGCACGGCTGAACAGAAGCTCACCGAGGTAGATCTCGCCGAAAGATCCGCTACCGATTTTTCTCCCTAACCTATACTTGTTCGCAATTCTGGGCTCCATGCCCGAAGCTTGCAAGGGTCGTTCAAACCTAAGCTACGGTAGTATGGAACGAACCCTATCACCTGTCCACTAGGCGCAAGTCCTAAACTAATTCTACGTCCAGGGCCCACAGAGCAGGGCCCTGAACTAGGGTTAGGTCGTCCTCCTCGTTCCCGCTGGTAGCTACAAACCTACGTTGAGCTAAACTTTAGGTCATCCATGGATTATACTAACTGCACAAAAACGTCAAGCACGATAAGAGCAACCTGCTAAATCTGAAACGGTGAACTTCTGAGACCCTAGTACAGTAGTCCTAGGCCTACCAGACTGGGGAAAACTAGGATGTGCTGAACAGGAGGGATGGTGTTTGAGGAGAGGAGAGGGATGTGTCAAGTGGAAGGTCACAGAGAGAGAAGAAGAGGGACATGAAGAAGACGAGGTTGGACAAGGACAAGGTATTTCATGCTGGTCTCTTGTTACTGGTCAGCTGGTATGATCCCAAGGTGGGGTTGTTCGCAGTTAGGGAAACCCTAGGTTTGTTGTATAGTGCAGGCGAACTGGTTGACTCAGCTGTGGCTAGTAGCGAAACCAGTCTGAGGGTTACTTTCTGTTACGACTACGCGACGAGAAAGTGGTTGGTGCCTAGGTTAGGGTTGCATGTGACTGTTTGGCTGTATGTGTGGCTGAGGTGGTCCGAGATGCCATGGTGGGCTGCATGCATGGCTCACGCTTTTCTAAGGCAGGTTTGGGACCATGTGACAGTTCAGCTTGAGGCTAGGGTTGAACATGATTGGCTCAGATTCTGGTCCTGACACAAAGATTTGCGAACCCCCACGGTTCGTGATTTCGTCGTAAGTGCTCGCGAACATTTTTGCGGGGTCATACAGAGGGGAGCACTGATGCCCATGTGAAATTCGGTGTTACACCATCGCAGGATGTCGCGAAGCCGGTTGGGATGGATTCGAACAGAGTCCCAGTGGCGTTCTCTGGGTCGTCCATGGATCAGTATGTGATGGTGACCCCAAGTTCGGCACGGCACTTGAAGCTGAGATGACACCAGGACGGCGCTCCAAGTGACCCTGAAGAGAACGCAGAGGTGGCTCCTCGTGTCAATCCTAGTTTCAAGCTGCTGCAAGAAGGTTCAATTTGCAAGAACAAAACTCGTACCAAAGTGTTCTCGTACGGCAATCTCGAGGCACCAGCTGCATACACAGAGCAGCCATTAATCTGAGTTGACCCAGAAGGGACGAGAGTGGCGAATTACTTAGGTGGTACCACTGGGGGCGAGAGCATTGGATCAGCTTTGAACAATCATTGCGAAGTTCTGTTATCGGTCACGAGGGCATGGCTGCCGCAGCGGTGCGCCTCTTGCGGGATGGACGGATCGACGGCATGGAGGCACCGACGGTGGTGCTAAGCGACACGTGTCACGTTCTGGGTGGCTGGCAGGTCTTGCGCCACATGACTGAGTCCCTGGTTCGAGCGATCCACTGCAATCGCGCGCAGGCAAGGTGTGTGATGTGTCCGTGTGCGCGTGTGATGTGTCCGTCTGATGTCTGCATATGTGTGTGTTGATGTGATGTGTGGGTGCATAATCTGATCAAGTTCGTGTGTCTGTGTTCTGATAAGTCTTGTGTGCGTATCGTGTGTCCCTCCATTCACTCCATTCCCGCATCCTCGTTCACCCTTCACTTCCTCCCTTCCCTGCCCTGAACCCGCTTCCAGCCGAGCAGTGTTGGTCTTAGCTACGCCCCGTGCTGCCACAACCGCCATCACCACCGCACATGGCGCTGCAGGGGGGCTGTGCGCGTGTCACTGCGCGCTGGTAGACTGCTGCTCTGACCCCATGGGGTGGGGACAGCCGCTTCAGACGTCTCAGCCGTCTCAGCCACCCTGCAGTCAGCCAGCCAATCCCAGCGGCCACATTGAAGGCCGTATCAGTGAAGGCAGTAGCAGTGCTGACTGCAGCAGCACAGCGGGTCCCATTCTCAGCAGCCGCTGCAACGTGTGGGACCTGCAGTTGCTTGAGCAGCGCATTCTGTGAGTTTTTGTGTGTCCGTTGCGCCATCCAGTGTTATCAGTACAACAACCACTACTCGCCCCTCCGTTGACCGCTCCGGTTCCCTCCGTCCCCTACTCTCTCGCTTTCGCGTTTACAATCCCTTTCATTTCCCCCCATATCCTCATACCCATAACCTTGCCCCCCATGACCTCGCGCCTTATATCCTCGTCTACTTACACGCCAGTTGTGCGACGAAGCCCAAAGCCACGGACGCGCACACAGGCGCTCAGGGCAGCGCTCCTTCCATTGTGGTGCTAGACTCGGTAGGTACGTTCATGCAGGTTCATGCGCTTGATCTGCTTCTAGTGAGGTGATTCTTGGGGTGCCTCAAGATTACGCTCCTTCCATTGTGGTTCTTTACTCAACAGGTACGCTCATCCACGCAATTCGTTTGCCTGTAACGGGTTTCTGTCCTGTCTTGCCTCACTTCTTTCTCTTCGCTCCCTCCCTGCATTTCATCTTCCCATACCACCATCATTCTACATCGCACTTCTCATTGTATTCCCCACCTCCCTGCATTTCTTCTCCCCCCATACCATACCATGCCACGCACCCATCCTCCCCCCATACCATACCATGCCACGCGGCCATCCTCCCTCCATACCATGCCACCACCTTCTCTCCATGCACCTCTCCATGCCATACCATGCCATGGCATACAATCATCCTCACTGCACCATGCCATGCCATGCCATCAGCTGGACCCTTTCCTGCGCCACAACACGCCAGCAGCCCTCCTCGCCATGATCTCACGACTGCAGTGGCATGATAAGGAGGGGTGAAGAGGGGACGGTTTATCAGGGAGGTATGCTCAAGAATGTTGCAGGTATCAGATGACAGCTCTCTGCATAAACCCTCATCACGTCACTATATATGAGGTCTGCGTCGTCATCATACTTACACCCATTTTGTACGCTTCCATCATCCATTGTTTTGTCAATCCGTCCTTCCTCACTCCCTCTGGTATCTATTCTCCCCTACTCCCTTCCCTTTCTTCCCTCCAGCCTCAGTCTCAGGAATCCTCCTCCTATCCCATGCTGACGTCACCCCGCCAGCTGTCACCTCCTCCTTGCGCCACATGGCGCACGCACTCCTCTCCCTGGAGCCACATCCCGGCCACTCCCTCCTCCCTCTCTCCCTCCTCCTCTCCCCCTCCTCTTCTCATCACCCATCGGGAAACTCAGTTGTCACTTCTGGCATGACTATCTCTAGCAGCAGCACAGCTGGCACTGGTAATATCGGTGGGAGGGGCAGCAGCGGCAGGAGCGAGAGTGGTGGCAGCATGGGGGATCGGCATGTGTTGCCGGGGGGGATACTGGTGCTGCAGCAGAAGAGGGCTTCAGGGAAATTCCGAACTGCGGTAGGTCTGTCTCTTTGGTTGGCGCTGCCTGGCTGTCTGATTTGCCCTTTTGAGGCGCCTCAAAAGTCGTCTCATTACCCGCAATTTTTTAGGCGCCTCAAAAGCCAGAACAGTGGCGTCTTCGAAGCGTGTCTGACTGTCTGTCCGTCCGTCCGTCAGTCTGACAGCCCACCTCTGGCACAAGGGCCTGTAACCTCTCTCTGCTCTCCCCTTCCCTCTGTTCACTCGCCTCCATCGCAGCTTGAGGAGTTTCATGTCGACCGGCAAGGAGCAGTGCACATAGACGCACAGAGCAAGGGCTCTGTGCACGTGCCACAACCACCCACCGCGCCCAGTGAATCTCCTGAGACCGCGCCTCAACCCACACTCGCTAGCGACAGCACAAGAGACACCTCTAAAGTACCTCCTGCAAACGTATCCCTACCAGAGCAGCAGCCTGCAGAGGGGGCACACAGAGGGGTGACAGGGAGAACGGAGGCTGCAGGCGTGGAGCCAATCAGGGTGATGGGAGATCGGGTGCCAGAGGTAAGAGAGGCAAGTGCTTTGCATGGCTAGTGAATGCGTTTTCACCCTTTGCCACTGCTTCTCTCTCCCGTTCCTGTTACTCCTCTGTTTTTGGCTCCCTCCACGACCCCCTTTCTCTCCTTCATCCTCCGTTGCAAATTTGTTCAAATTTCTCCTCCGTCTTGTGTCCCACCCAACGCTAGGTCTCCTTCCGCCTAGAGCGTTCTGAGGAGAGGCAGAGGGAGCGGGAAAGTGGTGCTGCTTCTTACTGCTGCTTCCCCTTCCCCTCCACCTTTTTTCTGCTGTCCTGCCAAATGAACAACAGGTCTCCTTTCGCCTAGAGCTGTCTCTGGAGGAACGGGCAGCAAGAGAGAAAGTGGTTCTGCCTTATGAACACCGAGGTTGGTTTGAACCCCTCTCAACCCCTCCCAACCCCGTCCAACCCCTTGTTTCCAGTCTCCTCCCATCTCCTCACCTCTTCGTTTTTGTTTTGTTTTGTTTTTTTGTGTTTTTTTTTTTTCACTCGGTTTCGATCTGATGAACAGTGCTGTCATTTCCTTTCCACCACTCACTGTCCTTGGCCCTTATCCAGGTGAAACTGGTCCAATCAAGATATACGATGGAAGAAGGAGCCTTGCACCAAGCCACGTCAAGGGAGCAGCAAATTCTTATGGAGATAACCTGGTTGGTGGTGTGTCGGCTCGTATGGCGGAACTTGCAGCGGGTGTGGGAACCGCTGGGGGCGAGTGGAGCGAAGGCGGGGGTAGTGGTTTGATTCATTATGAGCGTGATTCGGATGACGAATACCCAGATTCGGATGAAGACCCCGATGACGACCTGGATATATAGCATTTGTTTGTGTGTTGGTCTGTGCTACGATTGGTTGAAATTGTGCGAGGCTTTGTAATTCGGCAAATGACATATGCAGCTGTGCAAAACTAATTTGTCACGTTTCAGCTGAGGAACGTCCACGTAAACGAGGCGCTCCATAGGCATGCCCTCGTGTTGCAGCTTCCTGGTTCAAGAAATACTCCGCTTCGCTCGCTGATGGCCATTTTCAAATGCATATCTTGAAGATCCGTTGCACGCTTCTGGCTATGACGGTCCCAGCCGGTGCACTCAGGTCAAAATTTCCAAGCTGTTGTGGGACGACTAGAAAGCAGGCAGCACGATCAGAAATTTGCCTTGAGCACAGTCTGTAACGAGGGACGTAGTGGCGGAAGCATCGTATGGATCGGATAGTTTTGGCGGGAATCGCTGGTGGCGGGCGGAGAGTGATCGGATATTAGGGTTTCGGTTCGCAGATACCAGGGAGGTTCGAAGCACAGGGATCGCCCGCGTTGTTGCGGCGCGGTCAGTCGCCCGCATCCCGTGCCGTTAAACGCGCGAGCGAACGACGTACCGCTGTACCCCTGCTGACGTTGCTTGACTCGGATTAAGACGTCTCGCTTCGTTACGTTTCAGGGTTTCGCTTCACCACACCTATTCGCGTCGTTAACTCACTGATTCCGTCGCTGAATCTTCAGAACCCCGTGTTCGTTAGGCCATTCGTCTCAATTCGCTCGGCCTCTTAATCACCGTCGATTTTCGCCACGCGTCACAATGGACGACTACGATGCTCTCGAGGATTTCGACTTCGAGCAGACGCTCGGCCCCGGCCCGCTTCCGCCGTCCGCGCCCGCCTTCAGCACCGCTGTCCCCGCCTCCGCTCCCGGCGCGGCGGCATCCGCGGAGCCGAGCGCCGGCCCGGGCGCACCCGGCGGAGCGGGCGGCGGCAATTTCGGCGCGCGGGCCGATGGGTTCGGCGGGGGTTCGTCGCAGCACGCGCAACCCCCGTACCAGCAACAGCAGCAACACCATCAATTTCCGCAAAGTCAGCAGCATCAGCAGCAGCAACAGCAGCAGCAGCCGCCGCATCAGCAGCAGGCACACGACATGGGAGGGGGGCACGGGGGAGGCCCGCCGCCTGCCGGTTTCCGGCGGAATTACCGGCAGACCGTTTGCCGGCACTGGCTGCGCGGGCTGTGCATGAAGGGGAACGACTGTGGGTTTCTGCATCAATACGACAAGAGCCGCATGCCGGTTTGCCGGTACTTTGCGCGGTGGGGCGAGTGCAGGGAGCTTGACTGCGTGTACAAACACACCAACGAAGACGTCAAGGAGTGTAACATGTACGTTACGGCTTATTGATTGTGACGATAAAATGCGCCTTTTTATTATAAGTTGTGATGATTTATAAGTCGACTCAGCAGTATCCCTGATGGTTGCGACGGTTGTGACGGTTGCCTTGCCTTTCCAGAACTCTTATATATGGGTGTTTCAGGGTATTTGTGAGCTTTAGGTTATTTGCGGTCTTCAGGCCATGCGTACGTTTGTGCTCTCTGCTTCTCTTCAGAGGAGGCAGGAGGTGGCACCGTTGCGGTTGTATCTTTGTAACGTCTGCATGCATCTATTATCTGTTGTCAATATTCTTTCCTGATAATAATAAAAGCTTTCCTTTTGCACTTCCTCTCCGTTTCAGCCTGAATCTTCTCTGCCTGTGCTGCCTTTGGCGCACACATGTCTATTCGGTGCACATTCTTGCGTGCATTGACTCGTTACTTACCGTTCTTGCATTTCCTCAGTGTATTCTCGTGCATATCCTGATTTTGCTTGCGTTTTCCATTGCAAGCAAGCAGGCCTGCGAGTTTTGAAGCGTTTTTCTTGGCGCCTCTAACAACCATGTTAGCACAGGCTCTGCCTGCCCTTCCTTCCTCATTGCCTGATTTCACGTGCGCTATCCTCTTGCTCTCTGCTCATGCACTTGGCTGTGTGCCGTTACTCATATTCTGAATATTCATCCCTGTTATCCATAGTCCCCCCCATCCCCCGCTCTCCATTCCCTTTCCCCGTCCCCTTCCGTCCCCCCAGGTACAAGCTTGGATTCTGCCCGAACGGCCCGGATTGCCGGTACCGACATTTGAAGCTGCCCGGCCCGCCCCCTCCTGTGGAGGCCCTAGCTGAAAAGTTTCAGCTGCAGCTGCAGCAGCGTCCCCCCTTCCACTTTGCGGGGGGCATGGGGGGCGGAGGGGGAGGCATGGGGGGGGGCATGGGGGGAGGGATGGCGGGAGGAATGGGGGGAGGCATGGGGGGAGGTATGGGGGGAGCGGGGATGGGGAATGGGGGGGCGATGGGGGGAGGTAACAAGCCTGTGCGGTTCTTTTCTGGGCCTGGGGGGATGGAGCAGCAGGGGGGCGGGGGGATGGGTGCACATGGCGGAGGGGGGATGGGGGTAGGGGGAGGTATGGGCGGAGGCATGGGGGGAGGCATGGGGCAAGGGGGAATGGGACCAGGGGGGAACATGGGCCCTGGGGGAGGAGCAGGTGGGGGTATGGGCGGAGGCGGGGGAGGGGGAACGGGGGGAGGAGGGGAGATGGGGCAAGGGGGGCTTATGGGGCAAGCAGGCGGGGGAGCAGGGCCTGCTGGGGGGATGGGCGCAGGCGGAGGGGGAATGGGGCAAAGCGGAGGGGGAATGGGGGCGGGCGGAGGGGCAGGGGGGGCAGCTGTGAATCAGCAAGCGCAGCAAACAGGGCAGCAGGGACAGGGGGGGCAGGTGCAGCAGGGGGGGCAGCAGCAAGAAGGGGGAGGAGGGATGCAAGGGGTGGGTAGGGCCACGGGCGAAGGGGGAGCAGAGGGCGCAACCACAGGGGGAGGAGGAGGCGGAGGCGGAGGGGGAGGGGGAGGGGGAGGGGTTGCCAATGGGGTGGGGGACGGAAGGGACGGGGCAGAGGCAGGGGGTGGGATGGGCGGTATGGGGACTGCTGAGGGTGGTGCTGCTGCTTCTACTGGTGGGGGTAGTAGTGGTGATGGTGGTGGTGGGGGAGGAGGGCCGGCACACATGCCAAATCAGGCAAACATGCCAAATCAGGCGAATGCTCCGAATCAGGGGCATATGCAGCAACAGCAAGGAATGGCAGCTCAAGCAGGAGGCATGGGAGGAGGGATGGGTGGAGGGATGGGTGGAGGGATGGGGGGAGGGATGGGGGGAGGGATGGGGGGAGGGGGGATGGGAGGGGGAGCAGGAGGGATGCACGGGGAGGGGGGGATGATGATAGGGGATGCGTCAGCAGCAGGCATGGGAGCAGCAATGGCGCCGTCTCCGCCCATGAGCCTCGCCATACCCCCGCCTCCAGGCACCACCAGGTATGCTTGTGTGGTTGTGTGCTTGTGTGTGTCGAGGTGTTTTAAGTTTCTGAAGCTCTGTGGTGTGCTCATTCAAGTTGACTTTTGAGTCGACTCAAAAGTCACCTAATGGCACAATACCCTTCCTTTTGGAGAGCAACAATCTCGAGAACCTGGAGCAGTCAGCGAGACCTTCCCCCACACCCTCCTCTCCTCCCCCCACACCCTCCTCTCCTCCCCCCACCCCCTCAGGTACTTCATAGGGAAGAGCAACAATCTCGAGAACCTGGAGCTGTCGGCGCAGCGGGGCATGTGGGCGACGCATCGCAACAGCGAAGGCCCTCTTTCTGTCAACCACTCTCTTTTCCCCTCCCCGCCCTCCCCCCACACCCTCCTCCCCTCTCTCCCCTTCTCTCCCTTTCAGGTACTTCATAGTGAAGAGCAACAATCTCGAGAACCTCGAGCTGTCAGCGCAGCGGGGCATGTGGGCGACGCATCGCAACAACGAGGGGAAGCTGAACGAGGCGTATGAGTCGTGTGACAGCGTCATCCTGATCTTCTCAGTCAATGAGACGAGGCACTTCCAGGTGAGCTTCCAGGTGTGGGGGGGGGAGTTAGGGGGCTGTAGTAGAGTGGGGTGAAGCATCATCCTGATCTTCTCGGTCAATGAGACGAGGCACTTCCAGGTGAGCTTCCAGGTGTGGGGGGGGGAGTTAGGGGGCTGTAGTAGAGTGGGGTGAAGCTGAACGAGGCTTATGAGTCGTGTGACAGCGTTATCCTGATCTTCTCGGTCAATGAGACGAGGCACTTCCAGGTGAGTCGGGTGAAGTGGGTTGCAGTGCGGTGCACATGTATGGACGCACCGCAACAACAAGGGGAAGCTGAACGAGGCGTACGAGTCGTGCGACAGCGTTATCCTCATCTTCTCCGTCAATGAGACCAGGCTCTTTCAGGTGACATGCAGCATGGATAAGAGGTGGCAGTTGTAGGTTGAATTGTATTTTGAGGCGCCTCAAAAGGCTTTTCCAGGTGAGATGCAGCAGGGATAAGAGGTGGCAGAGGTTGAATTGAATGACAGGTGAGGGGGGAAGCTAGGCTAGGGGGTGCAGAGTGGGTTGGAGCTGAGCGAGGCGTACAAGTCATGTGACAGCGTTGTAAGGGTTGCCAAGTCATATTCACTGCCAATGAAACCCGGCACTTTAAGGTGAGGGTTGAAAGCAGGTGCACAGCTCAGAGGTGACGGGGTGAAAAAGGGTGATGAACTTTCAGGTGAGGGGGTGAAAGCAGGTAATGAACTTTCCCCACTGCTAACCCCACTCCCGACTCCCCACTCCCCTCTCCTCACTTTTCACCCCTCGCTCTTCCATGCATGCAGGGTTGTGCTCTCATGATGTCGCGCATAGGTGCCGTGGTGGGGGGAGGGCCGTGGAAGTATGCTCAGCGAATGGGCAGCTATGGACAGAACTTCCGAATTAGATGGCTCAAGGTGAGGAGGGATAGGGGGGGGGGGTTGTGGGGGTGCACTGAGTAAGCACGAGGTGGAGTAGCTACAGCTCATCTTGAGCTCTGAGTATGCTCAGCGGATGGGCAGCTATGGTAAGAACTTCCGCATTAGATGGCTCAAGGTGAGGGGGAGAGGGGAGAGGGGAGGCCGCTACAGCTCAGCTACAGCTCTAGGTAGCAGATGGCGTAAGGTGAGGGTGGGGCGCAGGAGCAATGAGTACGCACTGCGGATGGGCGGCTATGGACAGAACTTCCGAATTCGATGGCTCAAGGTGAGGGGGAGGGAAGGAAGCAAGAGGGGAGAGGGGAGGGGGGAAGGGAAAGTGGGGAGGGGCCACTCGAAGTAAGCACTGCGGATGGGCAACTATGGACAGAACTTCCGCATCCGATGGCTCAAGGTGAGGAGGGAGGAGGGAGGAGGGTGGGGTGCACTGAGTAAGCAGGAAGGAGGCCACCGCTGATCTTAAGCTCTGAGTATGCTCAGAGGATGGGCAGCTATGGTGAAAACTTTTGCATGAGATGGCTCAAGGTGAAGGGGAGAGGGAGGGGGGAGGAGAGGAGGGGAGAGGAGTGGGGAGGGGAGAGGGGAGAGAGGGCTGTGTGAGCTATCCTTCAACAAGAGGCAGCATCTGTGCAACCAGTGCAACAACAACCACGGAAAGACCAGCCTTCCCTGCCCACACTCGCTCTCCACCCTTCCCACCCAGCGGTGTGCTTGCTAGCTGTGAGCACGCTTTCACAATATGGCTGGCCGTTTTCCCACTGCTCATACCTGAGATTGATTTTCCCACAATTCTCAAAATCAATCTCGCTTTCACAATATGGCCGGCCGTTCTCCCACTGCTCATACCTGTCCTGCCCTTGTCCTTTCCTACCCTTGGCCTTTCCTTCCCTTGTCCTAATCTTCCCTTGTTTTTCCTTTTCTAGCTGTGCGAGCTCTCTTTCAACAAGACCCGTCACCTGCGCAACCAGTACAACGACAACCAGCCCGTCAAGATCAGCCGCGATTGTCAGGAGGTGGAGCCGTCAGCAGGCGAGCAGCTCACAGCACTGCTCTACCGCGAGCCAGACGCACCCCTCCTGGTGAGTGCCTCGTGTGCGCCTCCTGGTGAGTGCCTCGTGTGCGCCTCCTGGTGAGTGCCTCGTGTGCGCCTCCTGGTATGTGCCTTGCGCCTGTGCTGCTGAGCGCTTCTTTGTCCCCTCCTCTCGGCACTGCTTTCACCCACCCTCTCGCCCCTCCTCTCGGCACTGCTTTCACCCACCCTCTCACCCCTCCTCTCGGCACTGCTTTCACCCACCCTCTCACCCCTCCTCTCGGCACTGCTTTCACCCACCCTCTCACCCCTCCTCTCGGCACTGCTTTCACCCACCCTCTCACCCCTCCTCTCGGCACTGCTTTCACCCACCCTCTCACCCCTCCTCTCGGCACTGCTTTCACCCACCCTCTCACCCCTCCTCTCGGCACTGCTTTCACCCACCCTCTCACCCCTCCTCTCGGCACTGCTTTCACCCACCCTCTCACCCCTCCTCTCGGCACTGCTTTCACCCACCCTCTCACCCCTCCTCTCGGCACTGCTTTCACCCACCCTCTCACCCCTCCTCTCACCCCTTTCTCCGCCCCTTCTCCCCCCCTCTTCCGTTCCCCACCCCCAGGCCACGGCACGGGAAGCAGAGAAGAAGAGACTAATGGAGCAGCAAGCTCAGGCGCAGGGGAGGGGGGGCATGGGGGCTGGGATGGGGGCAGGGATGGGCGGAGGGATGGGGGGAGGTATGGGTGGAGGGATGGGGGGAGGGATGGGCGGAGGGATGGGTGGGATGGGGGGAATGGGCATGCATATGGGCATGGGAGGAATGGGAGGAATGGGGATGGGGGATATGGGGGGTATGGGTGGTATGGGTGGAATGGGGGGAATGGGGGGTATGGGTATGGGCATGAATATGGGTGGGGGGGCAGGTGGTATGGGTTCAAATGGGTATGGCATGGGCATGCATATGGGTGGTGGTGGCGGTGGGGGAGGAAGTGGGGGTAATGGGGGTAATGGGGGTAATGGGGGAAATACAGGCACACGTCAGGCAGGGCACAAACGAGCGAGCCAGAAGAAAGAGGAGGAGGAGGAAGAGGAGGATTCAGATGATGACGACGATGATGAGGATGATTCTGATGATGAAGATGAAGATGATGATTCTGATGAGGATGATGAGGAGAGCGAAGAGGAAAAGGAGAAGGAGAAAGGAGGGGAGAGGAGTGGGGGTCAACTAGGGACACAGGTGTCGAGAGGAAGAGAGGGAACTGGAACAGGAGGAGGATGCGGAAGAGGAGGAGGAGGGCGAGGGGTGGGAGAGCTAGAAGGGACATCTGGGGGGAGCAGAGGAAAGGCGGGTGTGGGAGAAGGGCAGCGAACCATGAGTTCTGGTGGTAACCCTGTGGGTGGTAACATTAAGAGCAATGATCCGAGGATTGCTAGGAACGCAGGTGCTTCTGGTGGTCGCGGCGCAGGTGCAACGTCGAGCGGAGGTTCAGGGCGAGGTTCGGCTCGAGCAGGTCTGGATGACCAGCGTCGGAGCCTTGGCTCGGGCCAAAGCAGCGGAGGAGTGGGAGGTGATGGTGAGAGGGGGATAGGAGTGAGAAAGAGGTTTTCGGATGGGGAGCCGGGGGGGAGGGAAGGGGTGGAAGGGGAGAGGAGAGGAGGAGGTAGGAGTGAGAAGGGGAGTGTGGCAGAGAGAAGGGATCCGAGAATGAGAAGGGGTTAGAGTGGGTGTAAAGGGGTTAAAGTAAGGGACAGGCCCAAGGTTGGGCGGGTGGGCAATGAGGGGTCACGTCACCTGGTAAAACAGAGGTTGGAGAGAGTGGAGGGATGGAAAGGAGAGGGGATGTGCGGGGAGGAAAAGTGGAGAAGCGTGTGCGGCACGGCTGCAGTATGTGTTTCAGTGCGATGTTTTGGCACCCCTTTCCTGCCTGCATTACCTTCATAAGCAACCTCACTAGGTATTCCCGGTTCTGCCCAGTGGCAATTGGTGTGTGTGCACAGCACACAGTAATACCGCACTTGTTATGGTACTTATTGACCTGAAATTGATTGGATGTTTTTATCTTTAGGATTTTCAGTACTTGGCATGTACCGTAGGTACAGATGTGCCCATGTTACCACCTTTCAGTGTAGCTTATGGTTGCAGGGAATCTGACAGCTGACAGCAAAACACTCATGTTTTAGAATATATATTTTATGTGATATTAACCCTCACTCACACCAGCATGCTACTGTACGTTTCTCTAGCAAACTACCCTGTACTGGATGCCAAAGCAATCATAGTACCTAGGCATTGTAATGGTACCATGTAACAATCATGGCTTGGCTAGTGGCCCTCCTGCATTCCCTGCTCTGCAAGGTAATGCTATCAATTCCATTGTTGCGTATGCTTCAAGTAGGACAGTGGCCTGCCCTAATTCACAAGCTTGTAATCAGAATGCCCAATGCTATTGCATTGCAAGTGTATGCAGTTGATGTGCAGCAATGTACGGTAGTCATATATATCCTGCCTGTATTATCTACTGATTGTTTCTAGACACTGCAGCAGCTCTCTATGGGCGTGCTCTTTGCAGATCATGTACTGTATTTGATGCACGAGCATGTACGGTATCAAGAGTAGCCTGGTGCTCTGTGGTTAGCGTTCACAATGTGCAACCCCTGTAGCCGGTGTGTTTCGACGCACAGTCCCTGTAATTAGGGTGCTTCAAGGCACAAGCTCCGTGATTTCGGCGACAGGTGCACAAGTCCTGTGATTAGTGTGCTCTAATGCCTAACCTTTGTGGTTAGTGGTGCTCCAATGTGCCCTGTTAGACTGCTTCGACCCAAAGGCCCTGTGATTAGTGTGCCACGTGGCACAAGCCCTGCGGTTAGCCCTGCGGTTAGCCCTGCGGTCAGCCCTGTGGTTAGCCCTGTGGTTAGACCCTGCGCAGGTGGTTGTTGAGGTAGGTGGGTCGCATGGGGAGGGGGTCGGGAAGAGGGGTGTGGGGGAGGGGGTCGGGAGGGACAGGCAAAGAGGGGTGTGGGGGGAGTGCTACGCAGGGGGAGAGGGGGGGATACCATACCTGAGAGTGTTACTAGTATAAATAACATATCCCATCCTATCTGCTTCAACTCTAGCACAAGTCTTCATCTTCCGCCTTGAATTCCAAACGGAGCTGCTTCGGCTGTACTGCAAACAGACGAGAGCAGGAGACAATTCAGACAAGAGTTGAGCTGGTAGAATCAGTATGATATGAAATGATAGATGTTGTCCGATTCGGGCACATGATTTACATGGTTTGGGTGCCTACTCAATGTACATGATAAGATATATGATATCATATGACATGCTGTTCCTGGGTTCAGTCTGTGTTTGGTTGCTTTTTGCTCACCTGCACAGACAACGATGATGAGCTCGTCACCAGCTCGCCACTGAGGTGACTATTGAGTCGACTCAAAAGTCACCTCAGTTTGTGTTTGGTTGCTTCTTGCTCTCACCTTCACAGACAACGATGATGAGCTCGTCACCAGCTGGCCTCTCCCCGCAAGGAATCGCAATCCCCGCCTCACCAGCCGATCCTGTCATGTCAGCAACACACCCAAACTGAAGCAGCGAGGGAGGGAAGGGCACATGAGTAACGAAGCAGCGTGAGAGAGAAGGGCACATGAGTAACGAAGCAGCGAGAGAGGGAAGGGCACATGAGTAACGAAGCAGCGAGAGAGGGAAGGGCACATGAGTAACGAAGCAGCGAGAGAGAAGATTCAAAGACACGAGCATGTGGAAGGCTTGGATGAAGCTTGTGGTTCCATTCTTGTTAACCAATCAGCCACAGCGAAATTGTGTTGCCGGGCAGAGAAACATGTATGAAGTGCAAAGGACTGGCGCGTCATGGACAGGAAGTGTGGGGATGGAAGGGGTATTGGCGCACTATGCAAGTGTGGGTGCAGAAACCCACCACAAGAGAAGGCCACAAAGCACGTGCTATTGTTGTGCACCCTCGATCTCCAATGCTGCTGCCAAAATGTTGCTCCGCCCACTGCTGCTGATCGCACCTGAAGGAGGAAACGAGAGGGGTAAAGGCATGTGAACAAATGTTCCCGAATGACTTGACCTCGCCTGTAGTCCGTCCGATGCCATCATTGCCGTGCCTGCTTGTCAGACGGCGGCGTGAAGAAGAGAAGCGATATGAGAGTAGAGAAGGTTGCGTGAAGAAGCGGGAAGGAAAAAATCAAGAGTGGACGGAGCATAGAGCTTTGAGGAGATGCGGGGAGGGGATGAGGAACGTATCATGGAAAGAGGGCTCAGTTGATTCGCCCTTGCTTGGTGTCCCTTGCTGATATTGCTGCTGCTGCCACTCCTATGCTGTGATCGACTGCAGAGCGAAAGGCAGGGAAGGAGGACAAAAGATATGAGAGGAGCGGCGATGATGTTCAAAGGAGTTAGAGAGAGGGCTGGCTAGATGACACAAGGAAATCTGGAGGGGGTTTTAGCATGCAGCATGTGGATGCCGCTTGACCATTGCTCCTTCTGACAGAAAAGGGAGTGGCAAAGGAGACCAAACTGACAAGCAGCACGAGGAGCTTACCATGTCGTGTCTGCCTGTTGTGTTCCCCTCAGCGCCCCATTTGCTGTCTCACCTTGCTGCCCTCGCCTAGTGAAAGATAGACAGGGACAGGAAGAGCGATGACAAGGGGGAAAGTTTGGAGTGAGAGAAGGATGAAGGGAGACAGGGAAAGAAAGAGTGGTGACAGGGAAGAAAATAAAGAAAGAGAAGGGCGAAGGTGCAGTCATACAGAACGGAATGCAGGTAGAGAGGAGGAGGGGGGGGGGAGAGAGAGGGAGGCAAGGAGGCAACTGCAAGTGAGTGGGAGGCAATGAGGCAATTGCAAACGATCAGATTCACAGAAAGGTGAGAGTGAGGTGGAGCAGTAACACATTGCGATGTGTAGAGGATCTGTCAGAGGAGACTCACCACATCACAGTCTTCTCCCTCATATCTGCTCCTTCATCTCTGCTCCCACTTGTCTGCTCCCCTGCGTCCTCCTCTGCTCCCGAACAGAGCAGATGAACAAGGAGAACAAGAAGGAAGGAGGGCGATCGATTAAAAGTGTAAGTCAGGCTACAGTGAGGAGAAGAGGAGTGGTACGAGAGAAGAGGACAGGAGACTAGGGAAACCAAGAACATTATGACGGAAGGAGGACAACCAAATAAAAGCATAAGGCAGACCTTACCACGTACGCTGCAGAAACCTCTTGCCCTCCTCTGTTCCCTTCCGCCTCAGTGCCCTCTCCGCCTCTGCGTGTATCATCCGCTGCTCCCTCTCCTCTGCATGTATTTTAGTCTGCTTCTTCTCCTCCTCTGCTTGCATCGTCCTCTGCTCCCCCTTCTCCTCTGCTCCCTATCCTACAATTAAGAACAAACAGTGCTACAACCTAAAGGAGAAGAGAGGAGTTACAGCCTGCAGGTGAGGTGATGAGCTAAAGCCTACATTCTACAGCCTGTACTATATAACAGAGCAAGGCAGACAGCAGATAAAAATATATCAAATTGATCTCACCTATCCCCTTATTGAAAGTACAGTTTTGTCATCCCTGTTTGTGTTCGCTTCTTTCAGGTCTGCAAACTTTTACTGCTTGGTTGTTCACTATCCTCTGCATGCATCAGACATAGGCGCTGCCCTGTGGTCAGAGTGGGGTTAGCGTACCTGTAGTTAGGCGCTGCCCTGTAGTCAAGAGTGGGGTTAGCGTACCTGTAGTTAGGCGCTGCCCTGTAGTCAGAGTGGGGTTAGCGTACCTGTAGTTAGGCGCTGTTCTGTGGTCAGAGTGGGGTTAGCGTACCTGTAGTTAGGCGCTGCCCTGTAGTCAGAGTGGGGTTAGCGTACCTGCAGTTAGGCGCTGTTCTGTGTTCAGAGTGGGGTTAGCGTACCTGTAGTTAGGCGCTGTTCTGTGGTCAGAGTGGGGTTAGCGTACCTGTAGTTAGGCGCTGCCCTGTAGTCAGAGTGGGGTTAGCGTACCTGTAGTTAGGCGCTGCCCTGTAGTCAGAGTGGGGTTAGCGTACCTGTAGTTAGGCGCTGCCCTGTAGTCAGAGTGGGGTTAGCGTACCTGTAGTTAGGCGCTGCCCTGTAGTCAGAGTGGGGTTAGCGTACCTGTAGTTAGGCGCTGCCCTGTGGATAGAGTGGGGTTAGCGTACCTGTAGTTAGGCGCTGCCCTGTAGTCAGAGTGGGGTTAGCGTACCTGTAGTTAGGCGCTGCCCTGTAGTCAGAGTGGGGTTAGCGTACCTGTAGTTAGGCGCTGTTCTGTGGTCAGAGTGGGGTTAGCGTACCTGTAGTTAGGCGCTGCCCTGTAGTCAGAGTGGGGTTAGCGTACCTGTAGTTAGGCGCTGCCCTGTAGTCAGAGTGGGGTTAGCGTACCTGTAGTTAGGCGCTGCCCTGTAGTCAGAGTGGGGTTAGCGTACCTGTAGTTAGGCGCTGCCCTGTAGTCAGAGTGGGGTTAGCGTACCTGCAGTTAGGCGCTGTTCTGTGTTCAGAGTGGGGTTAGCGTACCTGTAGTTAGGCGCTGTTCTGTGGTCAGAGTGGGGTTAGCGTACCTGTAGTTAGGCGCTGCCCTGTAGTCAGAGTGGGGTTAGCGTACCTGTAGTTAGGCGCTGCCCTGTAGTCAGAGTGGGGTTAGCGTACCTGTAGTTAGGCGCTGCCCTGTAGTCAGAGTGGGGTTAGCGTACCTGTAGTTAGGCGCTGCCCTGTAGTCAGAGTGGGGTTAGCGTACCTGTAGTTAGGCGCTGCCCTGTGGATAGAGTGGGGTTAGCGTACCTGTAGTTAGGCGCTGCCCTGTAGTCAGAGTGGGGTTAGCGTACCTGTAGTTAGGCGCTGCCCTGTAGTCAGAGTGGGGTTAGCGTACCTGTAGTTAGGCGCTGTTCTGTGGTCAGAGTGGGGTTAGCGTACCTGTAGTTAGGCGCTGCCCTGTAGTCAGAGTGGGGTTAGCGTACCTGTAGTTAGGCGCTGCCCTGTAGTCAGAGTGGGGTTAGCGTACCTGTAGTTAGGCGCTGCCCTGTAGTCAGAGTGGGGTTAGCGTACCTGTAGTTAGGCGCTGCCCTGTAGTCAGAGTGGGGTTAGCGTACCTGTAGTTAGGCGCTGTTCTGTGGTCAGAGTGGGGTTAGCGTACCTGTAGTTAGGCGCTGCCCTGTAGTCAGAGTGGGGTTAGCGTACCTGTAGTTAGGCGCTGCCCTGTAGTCAGAGTGGGGTTAGCGTACCTGTAGTTAGGCGCTGCCCAGTAGTCAGAGTGGGGTTAGCGTACCTGTAGTTAGGCGCTGCCCTGTAGTCAGAGTGGGGTTAGCGTACCTGTAGTTAGGCGCTGCCCTGTAGTCAGAGTGGGGTTAGCGTACCTGTAGTTAGGCGCTGTTCTGTGGTCAGAGTGGGGTTAGCATACCTGTAGTTAGGCGCTGCCCTGTAGTCAGAGTGGGGTTAGCGTACCTGTAGTTAGGCGCTGCCCTGTAGTCAGAGTGGGGTTAGCGTACCTGTAGTTAGGTGCTGCCCTGAAGTCAGAGTGGGGTTAGCGTACCTGTAGTTAGGCGCTGCCCTGTAGTCAGAGTGGGGTTAGCGTACCTGTAGTTAGGCGCTGCCCTGTAGTCAGAGTGGGGTTAGCGTACCTGTAGTTAGGCGCTGCCCTGTGGTTAGAGTGGGGTTAGCGAACCTGTAGTTAGGCGCTGCCCTGTAGTCAGAGTGGGGTTAGCGTACCTGTAGTTAGGCGCTGCCCTGTAGTCAGAGTGGGGTTAGCGTACCTGTAGTTAGGCGCTGTTCTGTGGTCAGAGTGGGGTTAGCGTACCTGTAGTTAGGCGCTGCCCTGTAGTCAGAGTGGGGTTAGCGTACCTGTAGTTAGGCGCTGCCCTGTAGTCAGAGTGGGGTTAGCGTACCTGAAGTTAGGCGCTGCCCTGTAGTCAGAGTGGGGTTAGCGTACCTGTAGTTAAGCACTGCACTGTAGTTAGGAGCTTCTCACCAGAGCGGTCAGTCCAGCCAGAGGGAGGTTCTCACCAGAGAGTGTCTGAGCCGGTGTTGCATGCACCACACCATCTGCAGCAGCGCCAGCACTGTCAGCACCAGCAGCAGCACTGCATGCGCCATCACCATCTCTACCAGTGGCAGCAGAGCCGTTACCAGCAGCACTCGCACCCTCTTTGACCCACTGCATTCTTGCTGTTGGGAAGGAAAGGGCAGAAGAAGGGGAAGAGCAGAGGGACAGGTGAGGCAGAGCGAGGGAATGAGTCAGCGAACGGAAGGCAAAAAGCGCCAGCAGCAGTCTCCATGAACCAATGCGTGAGAGAGAAACGAGAAAGCAAACTAGTGGTTGGATGGGCCACTATCGAGTGGAGATTCGCTCTTCAAGTGTCAGCTTGGGGAGCTATCAGCTGGAGAGGGTCCATTGGTGAGAACGCTGGCAGCAGCTAGAGGAGGAACGAGGGGCGGCGGGAGGAGGGCAGCAGGCGGGTGGAGAAGATGGGTGCAAGGCGCTGCTCCTCCCATGCTGCCCCCAGTGGTTGCAGTTGCAGCAGCACCCCTCGCAGCGACACCGCTCTCAGGAGTAACACCTCCCATGCTGCCCTCAGTGGTTGCACTTGCATCAACAACCCCCTTCCAGCGGCTGCCGCCCCTTGCTGCTCGCACTCCCTTTGGCCTGGGACAAGCGATAGAGTCGAGGATAGGGATAAGGACACGGAATGCAGGAAGTAAGTCCAAGGACGGAAGGAAGCAGTGGAACAGGAATTGCACGTGACTAAAAAAACAAGGCAGGGAAAACAGAGAGGCGATGGTAGCACACAGCACTAGGGCAGCGAGCTTGCAGGCAAGGGGGACGAGGTAAGGAAGAGACGCGGGCATGAGTATGAATGCATTCTAGTCTACCCTCCTACGACTCTAGTATGAGCTCAAGCTACCCCAGTGCCATGCGCTACCATCGCCAAAACGACGCTCATCTCTCATTCAAATTTTGACGCTCATCTCACGTCTCTCTTTTCGTTTTTCCGAACATGCAGTGAGGAAAAGATGATGTACACAAGCGGGCATCAATTAACATGAAGCAGAAACGGTAAGGTTGGGAGAGGGAACTTAGCCGCATGGGGGTGCTTGCAGGACAGTGGCGTCAGGCTTCCAGGAGGCTCGCACACAGCTGTGACTGCCTGCCGTGCGTCATCCCACTGCCCTCCCTCCCCGCACCACGCTGCCATAGCACCGGACGAGAGGGGTGGAGCAATGGAGAGCAAGAGGACCGAGCGGGGGATAGGAACCCAAGTAGTCAGTGGAAGCAAGAAAATAACAAGAACGATCGAGTAACGGAGACAAAAGTTGAAGATGAAAAGCATGTGGCATTGTAACGCTGTGAAAGGGGAGGCGATGGTAGCACACAGCACTAGAGCGGCGAGCTAGCAGGCAAGGGGAGACTGGGTAAGGAAGGGACGCCGGCATGTGTATGAATGCATTCTACTCTACACTACTACGACTCTAGTATGAGCTCAAGCTGTCCCAGTGCCATCTGCTACCATCGCCAAAACGACGCTCATCTCTCATTCAAATTTTGACGCTCATCTCACGTCTCTCTTTTCGTTTTTCCTAACATGCAGTGAGGAAAAGATGATGTACAAAAGCGGGCATTGATAAACATGAAGCAGAAACGGTAAGGTTGGGAGAGGGAACTTAGCCGCATGGGGGTGCTTGCAGGACAGTGGCGTCAGGCTTCCAGGAGGCTCGCACACCGCTGTGACTGCCTGCCGTGCGTCATCCCACCGTCCTCCCTACCAGCACCACGCTGCCATAGCACCGGATGAGAGGGGTAGAGCAGAGGAGAGCAAGAGAACCCAAGTAGTCTGTAGAAGCAAGAAAGTAGTGAAACGCTTGCAAGGAGGCAGAAATCACAAGAACAACTGAGAAACGGAAACAAAAGCTGAAGATAAAAAGGGCACAGTGACGCAGTGAATGGGGAGGCGATGGTAGCACACAGCACTAGGGCGGCGAGCTAGCTGGCAAGGGGGGACTGGGTAAGGAAGGGACGCGGGCATGTGT